TTTTTGGGTGGAACCAGGGATTGAACTCATTCCCTTGGCAAGCGTTTATTCTACTGAGCTATCTACCTGGCCCCTATATGTAAAATCTTTTTGAGACAGGATTCTCACTATGCAGTTCAGGCTGGTTGAGCTCACTTTGTAGCCTAGGCTGGTCTCAAACTTACAACAACCCTCCTGCCTCAGCCTTTCAAGTGCTGGGATTAAAGGCCTATGTCACCACAGACCAGTCTTAAAAAATAAAGCCACGGGCTGGGGATACAGCTCAGTGGCATAAGTGACTGCCTGGCAAGTGCAAGGTCCTGAGTTTGTCAGTAACAACAACAATAATAAGTTTAAAAAATAAAGTATGCTTCATTAAGCCATACACAGAATCAACATTTATTAAAACTACTATTTAGCTGGGCTGGTGATACGGCTCAGGAGCATAAGCACCTGCCTGGCAAATGCCTGGCAAATGCAAGATGGAGTCTGATTCCTGGTACTGGAAAACAAATACCTCTTTACTGTTCATTGGGGTACACAGTTGTTTTAAATCATATTAGGGTTTAAATGACCCCCAAAGCTTCATGTCTTCAGAGATGGGGAGAGGTGACTGGATCGTGGGGGAATGTGCTCACACTCAAGGGAATAGCCTACCAGTAAATTCAGCAGCTAAATACATTGTGGGAGGAGGCAGATCTAACAGAGCTCCTTCCTTCCTCTCTTCTTTGTGCTTCCTGGCAGCCCTGATGCAGCTTTTCCTCTACATAGGCCCTGTCCACTCAAATGCCAGCAGACCACAGGGCAAACATCAACCAAAATGAGCTCCCTTTAAGTTGTGGGTGTCAGGTACTGTAATCTGAGCAACAAGTGACCAAGTGTGCTATGAACTATTCCAGTTCAAGAGGGCTGGCCTTCGCTCCACTACTCGGCTGAAAGCTGCACGGGTTACCTGAAATCAGTAGCGTGTTGTGTATAGAACAGAAACAAGAAATAGCATATGTCATCACTTACCTTTTTTCTCCTCTCACAGTTAGGATCATCGATGTTATGAAAACTATTCTCATCTATTTCTCCTAACCAAATATGCTCACCAATCCCAACCAAGCAATTCGGGTTTCCTTTGCAGTTTCGTCTAAAAGAAAAAAAAGGGAAAAAGGATTTTTTTTTTTTTGGCGGAACCAGGTTTTGAACTCAGGCCCTCGCACTTGCCAGGGAAGCATTTATTCAGAGCCATCTCCCCAGCCCAAGTGTTTGGTTTTAAAGTACCCAGTAGTAGGCGAGAGAAGTACAGTTATAGGCCTTTTTGCACGAGATAAAAATGTTCTAGAATCGATCCTGGTGGGGCTGGAGATGTAGCTCAGTTCTAGAGCATTTGCTGAGACTGCACAAGGTGTTGTGTTTCACACCCAGCACTCCAAGCTTTTTGTTCTAGCAAAACAAAGAAAGTTGGGACCGGGGAGGTAACTCAGCAGCACGAGCACCTGCCTGGCAAGCATAAGGTCCTGAGTTCAATCGCCCGTACCTAAAAAAAACAAGAAAGTGTAACAAGATACTCAGATTGGGCAAGCTGGCACACCTGTGTATGGCTAGCACAACGGGAGGCTAAGGCAGGATGATCTCATGGTTTCAAGATCAACCCGGGCTACACAGCTAGCCCCTTTCTCACCCCTCTCCCCCTACCCCATGCTGTGGTGCTATGGAGAAATAAGCACACTAATCCTGCTGGTGGAAATACACATTGGTGCTCTCAGGGATGATGTTTTTGTAGCCCCTAAGAAAAACCTGCATATGGTGACATTGAATCTAACCAATTAATTTCTAAAAATTTAACCTGGAAATATACCTCTACCAGATACACACGGATTAGGTTTCTTACTGCAATTGTTTAATTACAAAATACTAAAATAAACCAAAAGAGGGCCAGCCAGATAGTTCAGTGGTCTAAAGCACCTGCTTAGGCAAGTGCAGTGACTGTGATTCAATCCCTAGTACCAGCCCCGCCCCCAGGGCAGGCTGAGCCTGCCACAAAAAAAAAAAAAAAAGATACATGGTGTAACACATGGTAGAATACAATGTAACTATAAAAGAAAAACATGAAGATCTAAGGGATGTGGAATAACTCCCACATTTTATTTTTATTTTTTCTTTTATATTAATTTTATTGAGAAAAAAGTAGCAATGACACAGTTTCAAAACATGTTAGCAGGGGCTGGAGAGATGGCTCAGTGGTCTAAAGCACCTACTTGGAACAAGCTTGGCAAAGCACAGGGACCGCGGTTCGATCCTCCAGCACCACATGCCAGCCAGCCACGCCCCCTGGTGGGCTGAGCTGGCCACACACACACACACACACACACACACACAATAAATGTTAAAAAAAAAATTAAAAAAAAAAAAAACATGTTAGCAGGACAGATACAATAATTAATAAACTGCATACTGTTGTCCTTGTAGTAGTTCTTCATAGTAACTCCCACATTTTAAATAAATTGCCAGGTATGGTGGTGTACACACACCTATCTCAATACTCAGGAAGCTGGGCTACATAGTGAGTTCAAGGCCAGCCTAAGCTACATGAGACCCTATCTCAGGGAATAAAAGAAAAACAAAAAAATTCAATTAAAATAAGGGGCCACATGGTGTTGTGGGTACAGTCAGTTGAACAACCAAAACTAGCAAGCGTATTAAAGTAAAAAGGAACAAATAACAAAAGAGGCTCTTTTATGTGTGCAAGTTAACAGTTCAGAAACACAAATCCTTTTTTTTTTTTTTTTTTTTTGGGTGGAACTGGGGATTGAACTCAGGCCCTTGTCCTTGCCAGGCAAGCACTTATTTTATCGAGCTATCTCTCCGGCCCTGAAACACAAATCCTAATGTCTAAATATTCTTCATTAAAGTGGCCAAGGCTCCAAATGAAAACTAAAAGTCAAATGCAAACCTGCTTTGTACCATAAGGAAGGATATACTCAAAGATGGGGGCATTCTGCCAGGTGTGGTGGCACATGTCTGTGATCCCAGCACATGGGAGGCTGAGGCAGAAGGACTGTTGCCAGTTCAATCAGCCTGGGCTATAAAGTGAGCTCAAAGCCAATGTGAACTGCATAGCCAGATCCTGTGCCCCCCCAAAAAATTGGGGGAAACATTAAAAACATACATAAGCATAAACATGCTAGGGGGACACCCCAGTGGCCAATCTCGCAAAGAAAAAAGAGCTGCTGGCCATGGCACATGCTTGTAATCTCAGTTACATGGAGGCTGAAGCAGGACTGCAAGTTGGAGAACAGCCTGAACAACTCAGCAGGATTCTCAGAATAAAGAGCTGAGGATGTAACTCAGTGGTAGAGCACCCCTGGTGTCCATGTTCAGCATTGCAAAAGTAAATAGCATGGGCTGGAGAGATGGCTCAGTGGTCTAAAGCACCTACTTGAAACAAGCTTGGCAAAGCACAGGGACCTCGGTTCGATCCCCCAGCACCACATGCCAGCCAGCCCCGCCCCCTGGTGGGCTGAGCTGGCCACACACACACACACAATAAATAAATGTAATAAATAAAAAAATTTTTAAAAAAAGTAAATAGCAATACATAAAACAGTAGGCATATAACCTACTGAAATATTATAACTTATGAATGTTCAAGAATATATTTGGGCTGGGGTTATAGCTCAGCAGCATAAGAGCCCACCTGGCAAGCACAAGGTCCCAAATTTGATTCCCGGTTCTGCCCCCCTCCAAAAAACACTATGGCCTCAGAGTGAGATATATGGAAAGAAAAATTTTATCCTTTCAGAAGAAAGCCAGTATCAGCATGGAAAGACAATTTTAGAGAAAACACTTGGCATTAATCATAACACAAAAATAAGGCTGGGGAGATAGCTCAGTAGAATAAGTGCTTGCCTGGCAAGTGCAAGGTGCTGAGTTTAATCCCTAGTACTAGAGGGGAGGAAAAAAGAATGAAATGAGTAATCTTTTAAAAAGAACACAAGAATCTGACATGAAAACCAATGAATGCCAGTGCAAGTAGGCTGAAGAAATACAGTATCTGCAATGTCTCAAAGTTTCAGTTGAATACCAAAGAATACAGTAACATTTTTTTTTAAATTTTTTAAAATTTATTTGTGTGTGTGTGTGTAGCCAGCTCAGCCCACCAGGGGGCGGGCTGGCTGGCATGTGGTGCTGGGGGATTGAACCGCAGTCCCTGGGCTTTGCTAAGCTTGTTCTAAGTAGGTGCTTTAGACCACTGAGCCATCTCACCAGCCCTACAGTAACTTTCAACAGAGAAATCAAAGTCAATATAATCGACAGCACAAATTTGCTGCTGCAATATGGAAAGAATATACTGCACCTCTGCCTGGGGTTCCAGCCCGGGGGGTATAACCCGAATCTAATCAGGAAACAGACAAGTGGGATTTGAGACACTTTCTTTTTTTTTTTTAAACATTTATTTCATGTGTGTGTGTGTGTGTGTGTGTGTGTGGCCAGCTCGGCCCACCAGGGGGCGAGTCTAGCTGGCATGTGGTGCTGGGGGATCGAACCGCGATCCCTGTGCTTTGCCAAGCTTGTCCCAAGTAGGTGCTTTAGACCACTGAGCCATCTCTCCAGCCCCGGAATTTGAGACACTTTCTACAAAGTATCCTGTACTTACTTTTTTCAAAAACAATGTGATACAATGGAACAAGCAGCCATCCCAGGTTAAAAGACTACAAAGATGTAAAGACAATGCAGCATCTAAGCTTGATTTCACTTGCTTGGTTCTTATTTCTATTAATTTTGGGGCTAAAGGGGCGGGGGAGATTAGCTCAGTGTTCCCAGCGCCTGCCTGGCAAGGATCTGTGTTGATTCCTGGTTCCACATGCTGTGCAACACCCCTAGGTACTCAGAGCCAGGAGCGCACCAGAAGAACAGATATGGTGGTGCCCACCTGTGATCCCAGCTCTGGAGAGGCTAAAACATGGGGATTAATAGGATTCTGAGCTGTGTCAAGACCCAGTACTAAATATATAAAATTAAAAAAAAAAAAAAAAAAAACGAAGAAAAATTTTGGGCCACAAGGAATATTGTTAAGTAGAGCACTAGAGCACCCAACTGTAATCCTAGCACTCTGGTAGGCCCTGGGTTCAATCCTCAGAAAGAGAGGCAGACAGAAACAGGCAGGCAATAAATATGATTAGGACTTTATATTCTTTTTTTTTTTTTTTTTTTATCTGAATGCCCTGAGGGGTGGTTTGGCTGTCTGGAGTGTTGTGGGGATCGAACTACAGCAACCTGAGGCTGACAGCTTTGTGGAAGCAGCCACTTAAACAACTGAGCTAAGGCCAGGCCCCCCAGGACTTTATACTCTGATAAGTATAAAACAATGGATACTATTACAGTCAGGAAAAAAAAAAAAACCACAAGATCACAAGATGGACAAAAATTTGTGTTGTGATATATAAACAGTATTGCTGCAGGTAGCTGAATTAGATAGAAATATGGATTAAAGTACTTGCTTAGGCAGATGCAGGGGCCGGGCCCTGGCCTGCAGTGCTGGCTCCGTTGGCCTGTTGAGACACATGCTTATAATATCAGTATTTGGGAGGCTGAAAACAGGAGAATCACTATGATTCAGACCTTTGTAGTGAGACCCTGCATACCCTGTCCTAAATGGGGGTGGAGGGGGGGTGGATATGGGCAGTCAGCAGGGCCAGACCCTCAAGGAGACAATAAGGAGACAAGGTGACTTTGCAACTTTGGAAAAGAGTGCTTTGGGCCACACCTCAAGATAAAAGTAAACAAACACAGCCACATGCTTCCCTGAGGATGGGCAGTGATTGATATTCTAAGTAGGTATCAATCACCTTGAAAAAGCCCTAAAAAGTCACTAACCCAAGCCCCATCAGGAAGAGACCCTATCATTCAAGCCTACTTGCTAAGTGACTCTCAGACCTAATGAGAGCAGTAAATAGTGCTTGTAATCTCATTGGTTGACTATAGTTTTGTCCCACCTCATCCCCACCTACAGTTCCCATATTTTCCACCTCAGACCCACTTCACCTCATGGTTTTACTCTAAAGTCCCTGGGAGAGACAGTTTCATGGGGACAACCCACTCACCACCTGCCCTTCCCCCATCCCCAGGACAGGAGTTTTCATTCCC